CAGGAGTCGGATTGCTTCAGCGACCTGCTCTTGGAGCATGTCCTTATAGTCATCTTCCGCCTCTTCGGAGTCAGAGTACGCGGGATGGCCCCGCATTTCGTCATCAGCGTCTCCCGCCTCCGAACCAGCTCGCGAAAGGTCTGGCAGCAACGGCATGCCAATCACCTGCGGTGCCAGCGCGGCGGTGAGCTCTTCCTCGGTCGCCGGGACGGTCTCAGCTTCGGAGACCTCGTCGCCGGCGGGTGGCCCCGCTGGAAGACCGAACCAAGCATTGAACGCGACCTCGTCGACCTCGTCCCAGCCGTGGAACTCGTCGAAGAGGGTCACTGCGTAGTCTTCCAGGGCTACGGTTGCTTCAGCGTAGCGGGCCATCACGTAATACGTGGAGGAGCCCGCAGCGGGAGCCGCTTCTGGATTGACGTAAAACTCGTAGTCAATGTAGTCTATGTCATCCATAAAAGAATTTTGAGCCAAATGTACGGATCCCTTTCCTTTCCCCTTCGGGCATTGATCGCGCAAATGATCTGTGCTACCGCATGTATGACACTTCATAGTATTGCCAGAAGCGTCCCTAGGGTTGCCCCTCCGCCCTTTTCCCTTACCGGAGGTCCGCCTGTGACCCCGACCTTTGCCTCCGATAAGAACTTCTTCAAAGGCTATATCAGTTAAGGACGTGAGGAAAGCAGTGATACCCCTACCATGCATACGGCGTCTGCGACCCCCTTTGCCACGACCCTTTCCATATCGTTTGAAATGTCGGCGTACTGCACGTCTCACTTTTCTGACTGGTTTCTTCATAAAGCGCCTCCAACGGCGTTTTGATTTGCGATAGGCCATAAAAGCGGCTTCCGCTCTTTGTTGTTCAGAAAGGTGAGTGTCATCCGCTGGATAGTCATTACCAGCAGAGACTATGCCATTGTGCTCATCGTCAGATGAGGTGTCTGTGTCAGTGCCAGATTCAAACGGTGAGGGTGGCTGAGACCCTTGAGCGGATGACTCCGCTTGGCCCCAGAGGGTTGTGCCCGAGGGCGGGCTTGCAGTGTAGGCGGCGCCTGGCGAGTAGTTCGACCAGGCGTTCGCCTCAGCTGCCTCTGCCGATGCCTGGCCAGTCTGCCCTAAAAGGGCAGTGGCCTCGTTGGGCATATCGGCTGGGTCAGCCCAAGGATTTGGCTCGCCAGGACCAGCGGGTGACCCCGCAGTCGTGGCGTAGACACCTGCATGTGAGTGGTGCCCTGTGAAGATACCCGCTATGTTGCCAGGAGAGCGCTCGGCGACATGTCCGTAGTTCCTCATCCTGGTCAGCAGCCTGTCATAGTCTGCTTGTGTTCGGGGCATCTGATGATTAAAGGGCTCCAGCAGGTGTTGGGCTCGTGACGCGCCAACGCCTAACGCTCTGAAGAGAATCAGCGTTAGGATCTGAAAGTTGGGGATGACAAATCCAACAGAGTTAGCCTCGTCACGGGCCATCTCGAACCGAGCTAACACTGAGTCGATTCGCTCGCCCCTTTCGACGCGAAAGTCGATAAGGGCAGTGCCAGAGTTGAGCTGGCGCTCATCTTCCAGATTTTCAAATTTGGTGCTCAGTAAGTACAGTATATATGTTACTGCATCCGTTGGCTGTCCATTGACAGTTACACCATAATTGATGATCTGGGAGGGGACCTGCATGGCGATACGACGAGCAAGACCTTGAAGGCCTCGTTGTAGTGCTGCAGCTTGTTGTGGTGGTGTCATATTGCCGCTCGTTACGTTTAACCATGCATGTACTTCGCGAACATATTCGCGAAAAGGCGTAGTACCGGCAGGGTCCCATGAGGGGCCAGTAGTACGCGTGTCGTCCATCCCCTGCCGCATGTATCCCACAGCACATCCCATTATTACCCACAGAATGCCGAAGATAGTTATCTTAATCCAGTGCATGTGCATTTCGGCTTCGGTGATTGGTTTAGGCTGTGGTTTGTCAGGCTCTGGCGTAGTAGCCGTGAGGCGCCTGACTGGCACGGGATGCAGGTGGCCCCGCTGCGGGTAGCCCCGCAGGGTGACCACGTTCTCGATCGAGTTGCCGATTGGCATCTGGTGGAAGTCGGGAGTGAAGTAGCGCAGTGAAGTAGGAGAGAGCGTCTCGAGTTCGCGGGTTGCCCCGCTAGCTCGATCGCGGACTGGCTCCGCTCCTCGCAGAGCCGGCGCAACATGGTATTCCACCGTAGTAGTAGTCCACCAAGTTGTGCCGTGGATTACTGGAATCAGAGCGAGAGCCAGCCACACGAGAGTGTAGCCAGCTCCGCTACCAAGTCGAAAACAAGCTGGTAAGCTTAGGTATGTGTTACGCTTTAAGCGTTGCCATATCCCAGGCTTTGGCTCATATCGCATGAGCAAGAGAGCAAGACGAAGCATGGGATCTGGAGTAAAGGATAGGATGGGCATCGTCAATGGAAAAGGTATTTTCCGATCTCTGATGCAAGTCGTGCGCCTCGGTGAGGCACAATCACATATTTGGCCGGGCCCGGCTTGAGCCAGGCACGGCAGCGGTACATGCTCGATTTATACCTCGCCTTTAACCTTCTCCGTTTAAAGTCATTCCTCCGCGCAAACCCACTGCACCCTGATGTTCCACCACGTCTGTAGTCCACCAGATAGTGCCGTGGATGGTGAGAAGTAGAGCGAAAGCTGACCACCATAGGCCAGCTCCGCTACCAAGTTTGAAAGGGGGTGGAAGGCCCAACCAGCAGCTTCGCCTTAGGCGAAGCCCACCTCCTGCTCTGTTGCACCGTAGTAGCGATAGCCCCAGTAGTAAGAGGCGAGCCATCTCAAGCAGTTTTGGTATCGATGGCAAATGGTACGCCCCGCGCTGAGTTGTAGTCAGATCTGGGCGGCCTCTTTGAGCCAAGCAGCCGCGGATGCACGCTTGTTCCCACTCACATGCAACGCCCGCCTCACTTTAGAGTTCCTTTTCTCCTTCAGGGAGTGGATCACCCTTCCCCCTTTCCCCCTCCCCTGGACCAGGAGGGGTGGGGTCGCGGGTCGTTCGAGCGTCCAAGATGGCCCAAGATGACTCCAGGAGGACCTCCGAGAACCCAAGACTTCCAAGATGGCCCAATATTGCCGAAGACGGCTCAATATGGCTCACGAGATGCTCCAAAAGGCCCCAAGACTGCTCCAAGATGGCTCCAAGTGGCCACGGAGCCTCTTGAAAAGGACACCTAGAGGCCAAAATCCTTCAAACACCTATGGAATACCAATGTGTTTGTCTTCTCGCCATTTCGCTTCCGATGGCCTTCCGAGGCTTCAAGACAACTACAAGAAGGCGCATGAAGGCCCCAAGAGAGACTCAAAAGAGCCCCAAGACGGCCCCAATAGCGCCCAAGAGCGCTCCAAGAGCGTCCCAAGAGGGGCCCAAGAGAAGATGTCGGGGCTCCCGAGGGTTGATTGTTATTGGTTGCGACTGCGTTTCTTGGTCTGGATCGGCTTCAGTGGTTCGAGCGCGACCGTGGATCAAGCTTTCTAGGCTGGATCGAACGTCCTGCTCGGGATCGGGTTCTTTGATCCTGAACGGCTCGTCAAATCGAGTGGCTCCCCACTGCATCAGAAAAACTCACCCCCAGGAAAAGCAGGGGGGGCGAGGGGAAATATAGGAGGGAGGGAAAGAAAACACGAGGAGAAGGACGAACCGAATTGAACTGAAGAAGGGCAACGATGGTGCTGGCCACTGAAGCCCCTCGGCTTAGATACAAAAGCTGCGCAGGGCCCAGGAGAACATGTGCGTGAATAGCTGGCGGCAACAGGGGCGTCCATATTTTGAAACATTCGGACGCCCTTTTTCGGACAATCGGCAATTGGATGCTTGCATTGTCAGGCCGTCGGTGAGAAGTGGCTGTCGCGGGGGGGTCAAGTTCACCTGGCGTCGGATCTTAAGTTTGATGTCTAAGAGCGTTCTTAAATCATTGGTTGTAGTTTCGATGTTGAGAGTGTGCGTGTTACCTCTTGGTGCGGGTTTGGAGTGCACTGCAGCGCGATATGAACATCCCTCTGGCGAGCGCATGGGGGCGCATGGGGGCGAGGGATGGGGGCACGGCGGCTACCTGTCCCCCAACGGCCGAACCACTCATAGCCCTCCGCAGTTGCGGATAAGAATGAAGGGCGGGCGGCACGACCTCGAGATCGACCGCGTCTTCGTGACGCGCCCATGGATTGTAGCCAGGTTTTCGAAGCAGCCTCGTCGAAATCGAGCGTCTCGAACATCAAGCGTCGAAACGCCGTTTGATATAGTGGGTCACTGCGGTTGGTCGCAGGGTGGGTCGCAAGGTGGGTCGCAGGGTGGGTCGCGGGGCGAGTCGCGGGGCGGGCCGCGCTGGGGCGCGAGCGGAACGACGACGACAACAACATCAACAACAACAGCAACAACACCATCAACAATGAATTGCACAGCGGAGGGCCATTTCAGTCAGGCACCCAGGGACAATGCAAGACCGTTCCGTTCCCTGTTGCTGACGAGTACATGCATTCATCTATACAAAGACGGACAGGCCTGTGTGCATATAGATGCTGCAAAAAACAAAAGTTACAAGCGTGTGTTCTACATACGTATGTGCTCCACACATGCATGCCGTTGGCGCATGTATGTGGGCACGTGCATGCACGTATTTAGTTGCACGCGCATGCATGCACACAGCGCACATCAATGAATATCTACACCAGGAGGGGGGAAGGGAGAGAGGGAGGGGGAGACAGCGGAGGAGGAGGAGGCGGATCATGAGAAGGTAAAGGAAACAGCGCGTCCTGGACATACCCTTGAGATCATAACAACATCAGCCCTGCGGGGCAAATCATTCCCTCGAGGGTTCCGCCGAAGGCCGCGAGGGCCAGCGGAACGCCGCCGATGGCCGCGAGAGGCCGCGGCCGCCGACGGTCGCCGACGGCCGCCGGGACGGCCACCGAAGGCTGCGGAAAGTCGGCGAAACCCGCGGCCGCCCCGCCGCAACCGCGGGGGGGCCCGGCCGCGCCTCGGCCTCGAGGCCGTCGGCGCTGGCCGCTGCCTCTGCGGGGGCCGCCTCGCCTTCCGCGGAGCTGGCGGCCACCTGCGCGAGCGGGGGGGGCTCGAGAGGGGGGGGGGAGGGAAGAAAGAGGAGGAGGAGGAGGAAGTGGAGGAGGAGGAGGAAGAGGAGGAGGAGGAATCGGCGGAGGAGGAGGAGGATGAAAAGGATGCGGGAAAGGCGGATAATCGATGTCGACAGCGACAACGAGGGGGAGGAGCAGGGGCCGGAGGAGGAGGAGGAAGAGGAGGGGAGGAGGGGGGGAGGGGGGGGAGGGGAAGGAGAAGGAAAAGGACAAGGAGAAGGATGAGGAGGAGGAGGAAGAGGAGGAGGAAAAAAAAAAAAAGCAGGGGGAAAAGGAGGATGAGGAGGAGGAGGAAGAAGAAGAGGAGGAAACGGAGGATGACTAGGAGGAATAGTTTTGCCTCCAAGCGAAAGCACCACAACTCGTTGTTCCGCGGTCAAAAGCCAGCTGGCATGCAGGCGACGTCAGCCATGCAGGAGGAGAGAGGAAAAGGCAACAGCAGGAGGAGAGGAATGGAAGGCAGGGCTCTGGCCGCAGATCCCCAGCAGCGAGGCTGGCTTCCATCAGCGACACGAGGACACCGAGGTACCTCGCGCGCGCGGGCATCGAAGCAGGACCACCCACCAACGGAAGTGGCGGGAAGCCAAATCAAAGCGGGGGGCGCAGTCGACACAGGGGGAAGACAGAGTCCATGCCCGGCACGGGGTGGCGCATACGCTCGCCATCCCCACTTGCGCCTCGGGCGGGACACCTGGGCCGAACACATCCACGGACCCTGGCGCGAGGCGGTCTGAAACTGCGAGAAGGACTCCCATCCAGAGTGGCGCAGCGGGGTGCCCGCCTGGACCTCGGACGTGTCGTTTGCGCGGCGGCGCCCAGGAATTCTTCGCCCAGCTCACGTCGCCCCCCCCCCCCCCCGCCCCCACCCCCGCGCACGCCGCGGCCAGCGAAGGCAGGCCTGTCCGCTCCGACTATGTCCTTACGGTCGAGGATCTCGGACTCGATGCCCTCGAGCAGCAACTCCCAGATGAGCTGCAGGCCCGCCTGGTCTGCAGTGGCCCGCACGTTGCCAAATGCCTCGCTCCATCCCCACTACGCGCGCGCAGACCCTGGCTTCGCCGCCTCCTCGGGGACGGGGCTCGACAACGCCGACCCCCCCCCCCCCCACATGTCTCCAGAGGCGCCCGAAGAGGAATATGCACTGGCCAGCGCGGCCAAGCGCTGGCCTCGAGGTCAAACTCCGCCTGAGGGGCAGCAATGTCCCAGATGCTCTTGGACACCGCGAAGCAATCCAGGACGGATCCCGAGCCTCGCCTACAAGCGTGCCCTGGCGGCTGTACAACAGCCCCGCTGAATTTCGCCACCCGGCCGAAGTCGAGGGCCTCGGCCCCCATGCCCCATTCCCCCATCGCCACCCAGTGGCGCCCCGACGCCTCCAAGTCCCCGATGAACTGCACCGCGCGCCAGAGTAAGGAGAGCGAACGCACGAAAAACGCCCCCCGCCCCCCACATGAGGAACTTTAGACCAGTGGGACCGTCAAACGACGCGCGAACTGAGAGCGGAAACTGCTCGACGGTCAGCCAACGACAACGCCGCGACATGCAATGCGAACGGCGCGCTGCTGCCATGCCCTTTGGCATTTGAACTTGGCGTTTCCTTGTGTTTGCGCGCGGTAAATGCCCGAAACCATTGTGGACATTTGCGCGCTCGTGCCAGGGCAGAAAACCAACGGGCGCGTTGGCCCTGGGCGGCGCCGGCAAGAGCTCCACGCAGCGCCCGGGGCCCGCCACGCACGGGCGCGCATCGAACAGTTTAGATCCACCCCAAAAGCACGATTCAGGCACCAGGCGAACAAGTATACATCAACTCCATATACACATTCACCCAAACTTTCCCGAAGCAGACGATCTCGCGCGGGAGAGCCCAAAACTTCCCGAAGCGCCGAAAGAACTTTATACTGGCCCAATTACCTCAAGAGAAACGCCCCCGATCTAAACTTATCCGCCAGCGGGGTCTGGAGGGGGGCGGCGACGGAGGTGGGCGCAGGGGCCCTCGGCTGGGCCAGCGGCGCTGCCGCGCGAGGGGCAGCGCCGCCGTCGCCTCAAATTGCGAGCCGCGGCCGTGGCGCGCGCCGCCCTGGGAACGCCGGCGCGGGCGCGGCCGCGTCGAGCGGGCCCGGGGCGTCACCGCGCGCGCGGGGCCCCCCTGCGGCGGCCGGCAATGGCCCCGCCGACAGGGCGCCTACACTTACGCTCATTCGCCGTAAATGCAAAACGCTGACATGTAAAATCCATAGTTCTGGGGGCTGGGGCCGGTTCCCCACTGCTCAGACAGGTTGCCCGCGGGCAAGCCCCCACCCGCCATGCAGGCGCGCGCCAGCGGCGACAACTCCTCCAGGGGGTCCCGCGTGGACGCGGGCAGGAAGGAGTCGGCCTGGAATCAGCTCAGGGTCGGCTCTGGCTGGGGGCGCTGTGATCTGCACGTGGGGCGGCGCCAGCGCAGCAACCCCGCCCTGCGTGCCCTCGGCCGCCCCTGCCGCGGCCGTTGCCGCACTCCACAGACCATGCCACCCTGCGTCCTGGGGCGCCCGCTGCTGCGTCGTCAAGGCGGTCTCTAGCCGATGGTGCCCCTGGGCCGCCGCCGCCAACCTTTCGCCGCCGTCGATGAGGGCGGGGCAGTTGGCCGAAGGGCCCGAGGAGGTGGCTTTAACCGTGGTGAGGCAGCAGCCGCGGCCAAGCTTTCCCGCCGACGATCTCGCGCCGGCGCACGCCGCCCCTCTGCCGCAGTGGGGCTGCCGCCAGCTGACGCTGCAGTGGCTGATGCTACTGCTGCTGCTGCTGCGGCTGAGCCCGCGTCGCACCCGTGCGACTTGTGAGACGGGGGCTGCAACGTCGAGGGGCTGAATCCCTCCGCCCCCGCCTCAGGGCCGCGCCCCGAGGCCGCCGCCCCGGCAGGCCCCGCGGCGCCCCTACCCGCTGACATCCTGGGGCCGCACCATTGAAAGCCCAACGCCCCAGCCCCCCCGCGCTGGGTCTGGCTCCGCCCACCCCATGCACTCCTGATCGGCAGCAGCGACTTCTGCGCCTGGCCCATCAGCTGGTCGCCGCGAGCCAAGCCCTGAGGCCGCCACCCCGGCGGGCCCCTCGGGGCCCGCGCCGTCTGACATCGCGGGGCCGCGCCCTTGAAAGCCGAACGCCCCGTCCACCCCCCGAGGGGGCTGGCTGCCTCCATCGCCCAGCGATCAGCTGCAACACCGTCGCCGACTGGCCCGGCAGCAGGACGCGCAGGGCCGCGCCCTGGGGCCGGCACCCACGGCTGCCCCCCGCGGTGCCTCGCAAAGCCAACCTGCTCTGACACCCCAGGGCCCCGCCCTTGATGGCCGAGCGCCCCTGTTGGCTCAGCGCGGGCCTGGCCACCCCCCAGCCGCCAGCGGGGGGGGCCCCCGGGGCACCTCTCCTGAGGTTGCCCATCCAGGGGTCGAAGCCGCGCCCCATGTCGGCGACAGCCTGCCCCTCGGCATCGCACGGCTGGCTCGCTGCGCCGCGCCGCCCCGCAGCGGCCATCGCAGGTGCCCGTCGCAGCGCCCGCGCTGCCCTCAGGCCCCCCTCGGCTGCTTCTTCGGAGGCGACGCGCCGAAATCGTCGAAGAAGCGCTTGCAGGCAGCGCGCGCCGCGTCGTCAGGAGGCCGCGCAGCCCCCTCCTCGGCGTCGGGCGCATGCCCGGCCGTCCCGAGGACTGCGCACTGGCCGGCGGCATTGCTCCTCGTCATCCATGACAAGTCGACGCCCGCCCCCCGGTGCTCCGCTCGAGCGTTGGCCTCGCTCGGTCGGCCGTCGCCCTCACTGGCCATGGGCTCTTGCCCTTGGCCTGGCGCGGCCGCAGCTCTGCGCGCCGTTTCGGCGGCCCCCGCAGCCTGTGCCCCGGCGGCGATCTGATTCTCGCGCTCGCTGGCCTGCCTGAGCACAGCCTCCGCCAGACCCTGCCTCACCGCGAAGCAAAACAAGAGCACCCCCAGGACCTCCGTCACCACGCGCTGGCCGCCGACTTCCACGACGCCACCTAGCTCAGCAGCAAGCCCCGCAAGCGGGGCGAGCAACTGCCCCAAACGCGCGCGCGCGCTGCGCTCGGAGCTCGCCGACGCGCGCCTCCTTCTCGACGTTGGCCGCGCGCAGCTCCTGCGCCCTGCCCGCCAACTCCTGCATCTGGAGCTCCACCGCCGCCAACTCACGGAGGCCCATCTCCAGTTGCTCCTCCTGCCTCTTCACACGGCCTCAGAGGCTCTTGAGATGCGCCCCCTCGGGCTTCGAGGCGAACGGGGCGCTCTGCGACTGGAGCTGCTCGGCCCCCAGGGCGCCCCTCAGATGCGCCGCAGAGCCCCCTCGTCGCCCGCGCCCCCCCAGGCCTGCTGCGCCGCGACCTTCTGATCCACGACCTCGAGGCGCTGCTTCTCTTCTGGCGGGGGCCCGCGCAGAGGAGCCGCAGTCGCCGCCCCCCGCCTGCGGGCGCAGCCCCCGGGGAGGACGGACCCTGATCTGCCTCCGCCTCGAGCTTCTCGATGCGCCCCATGGCCTGGGCAAGCCGCCCCTGTCGCTGAGCCCCGCCCGCCTCGCTGGCGCGTCCTCTGCTGGCCTGCCCCTGAAGACGGCGGCCTTGGGCTGGTTGCGCCACTTGCAATCTCTGACCGAAGTTGATCTTCTTGAAACCGCCAGCGCCTGGCTCGCTGCACGTCTTGCAGAACCAGGGGGAATGACTGCTGGCTCGGCAGGCCGCAGTGCCCAGCGACCTCGGCCCGCCGCCCGCAGGCTTGGCGCCCTGGCCGCGGCCCCCAGCCCCCTCGCCCCGCCCCGCCACTGCCGCCGCCTTCGAGGCGAAGGCGCCCACGTGAGCAACGCAAGCAAAAGTAGGAGGGCCGCCACGCACCGCGGCCGAGCATGCGCCGTCGGAAGAAAAGACTTCTGGCCAAAAGCGCGAGACCCCTCGCGCTCAGGCGTCGCCCGCAAGGAACTTGCGGTCGTCGGGCGTATCATGGCCTTGAGCGGAATTCGCTACGGATAAATATATATATATATATATATATATATATATATACACACAACCACGCGCGCGCCACGCGCGCGGTTGGGTTCTGGTCGCAGATGAGCCACGGGTGCCTGTGTAGGCCCCGCTGTGGCCAAAACGACGATTACCAGCGTTCTCGGGCACGTGCCATCGACGCCGAGAAACGTGTAGTCATAACGCGGGGTGCCACGCCCCCGCGCATCTCACAATCCCGAAACCGCCTTTGTTTGGTTGATCGAACTGCGCTTTTTCTCCACGTTCAATTCCTCTGCCCCGTCGTGACACTCAATTATTTTGCACATCTGCTCGGCCGATCATGCAGACATCCGCCGGCTCCTGATGTTGGGGTTGGCTCAGGGCCGCGTTCATTTTGTTCCTCTTCCGTGTGTTCCAAGCATCTCGTTTTCAGCGGTCGTTCAGCTGTCGGGCATCTGCACAGGGCGTGCGCACACGTCCCGGTCATCAGCGCCCTTCTCTGCAACCAGTTGTTGTCGAATCCGTCCACGGGATTGGGGAAGGCTCTTTTTGCTGAAGCCACCAAACCGCATGTTGGCGATAATCGCGCCAGTGGGATCCGAAGGTTCGGGCTCGCGGGGGATGCTTAACGATTTGCCTGGCAAGTCTCATGTATGGGGCTGCCTGGAGCTCTGATGGGGCCTCTGGCGGCATTACCTTCGTGGTGTCCTGGCGAGGCTTTTCAGGTGGTGAAGGAGAGGCACGAAACCTCAGAAATTGTATACTGTAGTAGCCACACCCCGCTCGCTCGGGCGGGCCCGCCCTGCAAGGATGGGGGGAGCAAGAACCGCGCGTAATGAAATGGTGTAGGGATGCCCTGCTTTCTCTGGCGGGGGTTACCCTGGCGCTCTATCGGGGCTGGAGAGAAAAGCACGAAACGGGAGGAAAATTATGGTATAGCCACACCCCGTGCGCTCTGACGGGGCGGTTTTCTTGGGCCGTCTGGGGCTCCTCCTAGGCAATTGTCGGGTTCCCTCGGGCCGTTTTGGTGTTTTTTTGGGTGCCTCTTCGGCGGTTTCGGAGCGGTTTGGGGGGGATCTTCTGCCGTCTTCGAGCATTGGGAGCTCGAGAGCGCGAAAAACAAAAAAATCAAACAAACCAGTGCAAATCAATGATGTGGGCCTCTTTGGGCTCTCTCGAGACGCCTCTCGGGGCTCTTTTGGACCCTCTTGGAGGCCTCTTGGGCTATGTGTTCGCCGTCTTGAGCTTCTCTTGACCACGTCGGGATCATCTGGGCCGTCCTGGAGTTTCTTGGGGCCTCCCGCTCCCGCTCTTTTTTTGTTCGACCGCCGACCGCGCGCAACTGCGGAGGGCTGCTCGCGGGATCGAACGGGCCAACGCTAATGTACAACGTACAAATGGGCGCCAGTCCGTATTAAAAGTGTAACAGATCGTGGGTGGCCCTCGTTGGGAGGGCAGCCTGCCTCGGGTGCAGGGCGGGTACACCCAAGCCTGATCAGCCGACCATCTTTCGCGGATGGCATGACGGGAGGAAATTGTGTTCGAGTTCTCCTGGGCTGGAGGAAGAATGATTCAGGAGATGTGTACATACATACACATAGATACATGAGAGAGAGGGGATCCGAGAGGACGAGGGTATGACCGAACAAAAAATCAAGATCGCTTACGGCGGTCGAGCACTGCGGCTCGTAGCTGAGATTGAAACCGCCATCGCTGAACATGATGTTGTGCTACGAGCCTGTAGTTTCATGCCTAAAGGAACCCTAAAGGAACTACAAGGAAAATCGTCCCTCCTGTGTGCAGCTCGTTGATTTGTTCAGCGAACTCTCCAAGAGGACGTCGAGAGGATTTGGCGACGTGAGCAGAGGCGGGGGCACGCAGACCACGAGGAGGTGCAAGCGAATCCAGAAGTATATATTTACTAGAACCACGCACGCGCGCTTCGCGCGCGCTTAGGTTCTGTCGAGTCACAGACCCAGGAATCGTTGTGAGAAGAAATTGGTGACGCGAAGCGTCGTGGGGGCGTCCTTGGACGTCTGGGGTCTCCTGGGGCCTCTTGAGGGGCCTCCTGGGGGCCTCCTGGCGGCCTCTTGGGGCGGAAGGCTCGAGCTTGCGGTTCGTGGTCCCCCTCTGGGCCCCCTCTTGGGCCCGTCTTGGGGCCCTCTTGGGCCATCTTGGGCGCCTCTTGGGCCGTCTTGGGGCCCTCTTGGGCTGTCCTGGGGCCCTCTTGGAAGCTTCTTGGGCCGTCTTGGGGCGGTCTTGGGCGCCTCTTGGGCCGTCCTGTAACGTCGGAAAGCCCAAAAGACAACTTTGTTGAAAATGTACGTTTTACGAAGGGAATGGGCCAATTTTTGCGTCTAGGGGCCCTCTTGGGACGCATGTTGGAGGCTTCTTGGGGCCTCTTGGGGGCGTCCTTGGACGTCTGGGGTCTCCTGGGGCCTCTTGAGGGGCCTCCTGGGGGCCTCCTGGCGGCCTCTTGGGGCGGAAGGCTCGAGCTTGCGGTTCGTGGTCCCCCTCTGGGCCCCCTCTTGGGCCCGTCTTGGGGCCCTCTTGGGCCATCTTGGGCGCCTCTTGGGCCGTCTTGGGGCCCTCTTGGGCTGTCCTGGGGCCCTCTGGGAAGCTTCTTGGGCCGTCTTGGGGCGGTCTTGGGCGCCTCTTGGGCCGTCCTGTAACGTCGGAAAGCCCAAAAGACAACTTTGTTGAAAATGTACGTTTTACGAAGGGAATGGGCCAATTTTTGCGTCTAGGGGCCCTCTTGGGACGCATGTTGGAGGCTTCTTGGGGCCTCTTGGGGGCGTCCTTGGACGTCTGGGGTCTCCTGGGGCCTCTTGAGGGGCCTCCTGGGGGCCTCCTGGCGGCCTCTTGGGGCGGAAGGCTCGAGCTTGCGGTTCGTGGTCCCCCTCTGGGCCCCCTCTTGGGCCCGTCTTGGGGCCCTCTTGGGCCATCTTGGGCGCCTCTTGGGCCGTCTTGGGGCCCTCTTGGGCTGTCCTGGGGCCCTCTTGGAAGCTTCTTGGGCCGTCTTGGGGCGGTCTTGGGCGCCTCTTGGGCCGTCCTGTAACGTCGGAAAGCCCAAAAGGCGACTTTGTTGAAAATGTACGTTTTACGAAGGGAATGGGTCAATTTTTGCGTCTAGGGGCCCTCTTGGGACGCATGTTGGAGGCTTCTTGGGGCCTCTTGGGGGCGTCCTTGGACGTCTGGGGTCTCCTGGGGCCTCTTGAGGGGCCTCCTGGGGGCCTCCTGGCGGCCTCTTGGGGCGGAAGGCTCGAGCTTGCGGTTCGTGGTCCCCCTCTGGGCCCCCTCTTGGGCCCGTCTTGGGGCCCTCTTGGGCCATCTTGGGCGCCTCTTGGGCCGTCTTGGGGCCCTCTTGGGCTGTCCTGGGGCCCTCTTGGAAGCTTCTTGGGCCGTCTTGGGGCGGTCTTGGGCGCCTCTTGGGCCGTCCTGTAACGTCGGAAAGCCCAAAAGGCGACTTTGTTGAAAATGTACGTTTTACGAAGGGAATGGGCCAATTTTGCGTCTAGGGGCCCTCTTGGGACGCATGTTGGAGGCTTCTTGGGGCCTCTTGGGGGCGTCCTTGGACGTCTGGAGGCCATCTTCAGCATCTCGGAGCCCTCTTGGAGGCCTCTTGGAAGTTTCTTGGGCCGTCTTGGGCGCTCCTGGGGCCGTCTTGTCTGACCGGGGAGGCCTCCGGCAAGCCCCGACGAGCCTCCGGGCCCCCCGGAGCCCACATTTGTGGTCGAGGTCCCGGCCCCGGGCCCCCGGACCCGGTGCGCCGTTATATGTATACTAGAACCATCGCGCGCGCTTCGCGCGCGCCCTACCCCCTCCCTACACGCCCCGGCCAGCTGTCTTACAGCGGCCACAGGGCGCATGTGACCCAGCGCACGAAGCGGCAGCTAAGGTGCTTCCAGGCAACCACTGAGATTTTGCGCAGAGATGCACGGACTCTGCGCAGAAGTCCCCAAGCTGGCGGGAAACACAATTCACTGCAAGTTCACTGGCACAACCGGGCCTCGCACGAGGTCCTCAAGTGCGAGCAAGACGTGGTTCGACGCCCCGTGCACTGCAAAACAATGTCACGAGCTGCAGCAGAATCCGCCACACGTCAAAACTCCCACGTTCAAAAAATCAAGGCGCCAGGTAATGTTGTGGGCAATTGAGTCTCGCGCGGCCCCAGAAGGAAGTGGAAAGACACACAGAAACAGGTATGTTGCCACTGGGAAGAGAGTTGCATCCTAAGGAGGGAGGGAGTAGGCGGTCGATCTGCATGCCCGTTCAAAGCCTGCGCGCCACAGACTCGGTGCACGTTGACAGGCTGACCCCGACACCACGACCATGCGATCGCGGAGAAGAAGCGGCGGATCAAGAATGGGACAAGACTGAACAACTGGACGCGAGCTGGAAAAGCAGTGACATAAACCAGAGAAGCCGCACTGTACACCGCTGATAGATCAGCCACAGAAGCGCCACATCTCCGATGGGTCGGCGAGAGCCCCCCAAGGGCTGCGATGGCTGCGTCGAGGGAAAGAAGAAAATGAGCGCTGAGGTCCACGCGCGGGCCCCCGACATCCGACGAGATGTTCAGTCCCAGCGGCCTCTCTGCTTCGAGTGGTTGGGATTGGACGCCTTTCCACGGCTCTGCTGCGACAGGCGTCGACTCATGATTGGGCCGTGCTCTGTTGCGACAGGCGTCGGCTCTGTTGCGACAAACGCCGTTCCAGAAAGCTGTCTTGACTCAACACGCTTGACATTCTCCCGCGAACTTCTTTCAAGGCAGCCTCTTGCGATTTGACCAGGAGTATCATGTGGACGAAGTAGGCCAAGATGGAGCAGGTAATCATTGCCAAAAGCAAAGCTGTAGCCCCGAAGTCCTCTGTCCTGAAAACTACCACCTTGAACATGTATGTGACTGCAATGTCCCAGGTGCCGGCCAAGTTTGCCGGCACTGCGCCAATGACTATTACCATCACGTTACCCAAGATTGTTTTCAGCTCTGGACCCAAAACTGCACCAATCCAAACTTTGTAGTCGAATCCATGTAGAATGCCCTTGTCAAGCAAAACGCGTGCTTCAAATGTCATCGATAGAATCGTGAGCATCAATGCTTTGGAGAACTCCATTACAACAATACACCGGAAACGCTCAGCACCCTCGTTTTCTGGCGCCATAAGTCTACCCGACACATTGCCCATCGATACGTCAGCAAGGGCATCGAGAATCGATGCAACCATGGAGAATCCGATCCCCAGAATGCTGCTTTCAACACCATCTGACGATGATGAGATCAAGAACAACCAGATGCCAAGAAGTGTGTTTATGATGGTCAGTATCTGCAAGGCATCAATGGGACATGCTTTAATGGCAAGTGCCTCCATGCAGAGGCAAGGGACAATCGCAAACTTCATTGTCACAATGAAGATTAGTGAGTCAACGTTTGCGAGCGCAACATTTTCACACGCAAACATGATACCGCGCAACACACCTATGCCACACACGAGTACATACTGTTTATGAAACAATCTTCGTGTGGAATCGACGCCGAATTTCGCCAAAAGCAGTAAGCAGCCTAGTCCAGCCCCGATGATCGCTCCAAACATCGATGGCAAGAAGAGTGAGAACTCGGGCGTGCCATTGTTCGAGGCCCACCTGTAGCCCATGGCTCTGAACGAGACTGAAAAAGGTAAGAGGATGAGAGGCAGCATGCGCAGTATACTCTTCCCCGCACCCGGCTTGTGGCTCAGCCGAATAGTTTCACGCACGAAATGGTCAAGCCAATGATTCAGTGAAAAACTCCCACTGTCGGCGTTACTATGACGAGCGCTGCTAGAAACTACAACGGAGGAGCCGCGGACACTCAGCTCAGGCGGAAGGTCGAGCGGGTGATCACCAGGTGTCTCTGCCAGCGCCGTCGGCGATATGGTCTCGAGGGTCTCAGAATTGCGCTCGGGCCCCTTAACCAAATCCATATGTCAATGTGACTGTGGTGTCCGGTATCCAACAGTGGAAGTATCGCGCGAAGTGAACCAATACTTGACCGCCGTAAGACTTGAGCCAAAATGGCTACGGACCTCCCGCTCCCGCTCTTGGGCCCATCTTGTGCCTCTCCTGGGATTCTCTTGGGCAGTCTTGGACTGCTCTTGGGCAGTCTTCAGGCTCTCCTAGGCCGTTTTGGGGCTCTTTTTGTGGCCTCTTCGGCGGTCTTGGGGCGATCTTCGGGGCATTTTCGAAAGTCTTCGAGTGTTTGAAGCTCAGAACGGAGAACAAGCCAGTGCAAATCAATGATGTGGGCCTCTTTGGGCTCTCTCGGGACGCCTCTCGGAGGTCTCTCGAGGCCTCTTGGAGGCCTCTTGGGCTGTGTAGTTGCGGTCTGGAGCCCATCTTGGGCCACGTTGGGGCTATCTGGGCTGTCTTGGAAGGGCTTGTCGAAGTCCCCCGGGGGCTTCTGGGAGCGGTTTGGAGCTCTCTGGGGCACTCTGGAGGCTCCACGGCCCCTCCGGGGTGCTTTGGGAAAGGTCCCGGAGGCCCCTGTCCCCCCATGCGCGCTCGAGGTCGCAGCCCTGGGCGCCCGGGCCTCTTGCGCGGGTATATATGTATACACATACATATATGCACGTGTAGCTCTACGAATATATCTTAATGGATATGTGTTGAAAAAATTGAAAATCCACCAGACCTCTGCAGCAGACCTCCCGAAGCATTGCAGAAACAGTCAAACACATGTGAACATCCTGAGAAAATATTGCAATGACGACGACGGCAAGAAGGCGGCAGCGGCGTCGGCGGCGGCAATGGCGGAGCAGGCGAAGGCGAAGGCACCGGCGGCGAAGGCGAAGCCGAAGGCGGCAGCTACGACGGCGACGACGACGAAGGCGACGACGACGACGAGGACGAGGACGAGGACGACGACGACGACGACGACGACGGGGACGACATCGACGACGACGACGACAACGACGACGACGACGGCGACGACGACGACGACGATGACGACGACGACGACGACGACGACGACGACGACGACGACGACGACGACGACGGCGACGGCGGCGGCGGCGGCGGCGGCAACGACGACGACGGCGATGCGGCTGCCGTGCACTGCCCGCCCTCGCGCCTCCTTCGACTTGGCATCGCTGGCGCGGGTCCAGATGGAGACACGCCCGTCCTCGGGGAGCGCGCGGGGCCCGCCTGGAGAACCCCGTCGCCGCCGCCGGCGGCGAAACCGACGACGACAGGAGGAAAGAAGACAGAGAAGGGACACCTCCTCTTCACCCCCATCCTTGTCCACATCTACATTATCAAGCTCCTCTCCCCCATCGTCCCCCCCCTTCCCTTTTCGTCTGCGTTTTGGCCAGAACGTTCGCAAGGAACCGCCATCGTCCCGCCGCCCTGTCACCCCGCACGGTGCCGCCACAGGACGGCCGCGCCTGAAAGGGCTCACGCGCCGCCCTCCGTCACCGCTGCCCTGGTGGAAGCGGCGGTGCGCGGCGCCGTCCCAGGAGGTTCCCCGCGACGCACCGTCGCCGCTGTCGCTCGGTCGGCAGTCTCAGCCGCGCTCTTCGCGCTGGCCGATGCCCCCGAGCTGCCGCCGCGCGGCGCTGCCGCTGAAGGTGCCCCTGACCGATCCTCGCCCGCGCGCCCCCTCGGGGGCGCAGCGGGGGCGAGCGGGGGCGGGTCGGCGCCGCCGCAAGGCGCGGGCTGGGCGCAGACTGCTGGGAGGGGGCGAGGGAGGCGCCCGACACTTCTGCGTTCGGATGTCCCGTGGCTTCACAAAACGGCGACGACGCGCGCCTACTGCTGCCCCCAGGGAGACCTTGGCGCCGTCGCACAACGCTCTGCATCTCGCACTTCCGCATGCAAACTGTCCGTTGAGCCAACCACCTGGGGCGCTCGTATCCCTCCCGCGCAGGAGCGCGCGCGCATCCTCCGTTGGCGCACAAACACGACACTCCCCCTGCACAGTCTTGAACCGCGCGTCGTCGCATCGCTCGCAATCCTCCAGCTCTGTCAAGCCCTGAACCCCGTCCTCGCCTCCGCCCCGCAGACCCGCTTGTCACTGCTGCGCTGGCGGGAAAGATGTGTAATTTCTAAATGGCGCGACGCGCCCCGTGGGCAGATCTGCAAGAAACCCTCCGTCCAGCGGCGACAACTGCCAGACATCCCAGCTGGGCGCGACATTCGACCTGCCGACCGATCCCGGCACTCCGCCATCGCCGTGCTTCTGCGCGCCCACGCCCCGAATAACGCCGCGCAGCTGTTCGTCCACCCCGGCGAACCAGTCGGGCGCTCGCCGCGCTGATCTCGTCTATGCGCGACCGCCTCAACGGCGGCGCGCGCCTCGCTGCATCGCGCCGAAACTTCGCGCGCCCCCTTTCTCGTCGCCGCGCTTCGCGCGGGGCGCGGCGCGCTGTGCATCCGCTGAAAAACTGCGCCGCGACTGCCCGGGGCGCCGCGAGCAGGAAAAGCGCGCGCATGGTCGGCTGCAACAGCCCTTCAAACACCCCCCCCCGCAGAATCCGATGCACGCGCGACTCTCCCGCCCCGAACCCGACGCACATGCGCCGCCGCGGCGGCTCGCCCATGGTCGCGCCACCATCGCGCCTCTCCGCCTAGCTCCCATGGCCTTCTCAGAAGCCTGCCTGACCTTATCGCACTGGCGCGCGTTCACGACGCGCCGACCTGTCTCCCCGGCTTCTCTGAACCCCAGCTCTCTGAGCCACTCCGGCACCAGGGGTGGCGTCGCCCCAGCGCGCGATTCAATCCCCCCCTGCCCACCGCCGTCGCCGCCTTTTCGGCCATTGACTTCGCCTAATTCCGAGGCGCCCGCGCTGCGGCCATCGCGCCGTCCAAGTCGCCGCTCGCTGCCCTCGGCCGCGCGCGCCGCGCCGCGCTGAGCGGCGTTTCGTCTGCGCGCTGGCCCCGCGCGCGCCGCGCCGCGGATGCGCCTGCTCTGCTTTCGGACTCTCGCCATGGGAACTGCGCCCCAGGGCCCCCCCCCCCGCCAGAGAATCGCCGTCACCGCGTCTCCGACGCCGCCCTGCCGCAACCGCCTTCCGACGGGCGATACGCGGGCTTCGCCCAACCGATCGAGGCCGACCTCCAACCCCGCTTTGGACGCCCGAGATGGGCACGGAAAGAATGGGCACCATGCCCAACAACTCATGTTGTCCCACACCAACGGCGGCCGCTGTTGGGTAGGCGGCCTTCTGTCTCGAATGGGCACAGGGCGCGGCGGCGTGGACAGCGAATCCTGTAAAAAATGAACAGGAACTGCCGTTGGGAATTGCGCCCATTCTTGCCGCGCCCATTTCGGGCGCCCAGATCCGCGCCGCTGACGTCCTCGCTGCTTCGCGCGCGCCCATGGCCCGCATTCCCCAGGCGCGCCCGGCACGCGCTGAGGACATTTCCCGCGCGCCGCGCAGCTTCTTCTGTTTGCGCTCCGCCGTCTAACCGCGACGCCAGGGCAAACCCCCGTGCCTTCGCGCCCCCGCGGAGTGCCCCCGCGAACTCCGCGCGCTCCCCCGCCTCGCTTTGTCGCGGCGTCCAGGGATTGAATGCGACATTGCAAGGCGCGCAGACCGCTCGGATTCCCCCGCTGGCCGCGCGGCACTGGCGCCCCGAAGAAGTCGGCGCCGCGGGCCTCCTGTTCCCGGGCGGGGCCCAAGCGGCGCATGCGCGCGCGCCCGACAACGTCTGGCGCTCAATCTTCGCCTCCATCGCCGCGCGCCCTGCAGTCGACGCCAAGCAGCCGCTCCTCTGCCTGCGCCCCATTCCTGGCTGCGCTGGCATCCTCCTGCACCCCTGTCGGCGCCGGGACCGCGCGGCATCTCTGCGCCCGATTTCTCGGCGCGGGCGGGGTGCGACGCGCGGGCGGGCGCCCAGCGCGTCGCGAACTCGCGCGGCGAGAGGCGCCGCAGGCCCCCCCGTTTCGGGGGGCCGCGCAGCGCGGCCGCATCTCTGATGGTCACGACGCCCGCGGTTGCGCGCGTCCACTTCGGCGAACTGCGCTTTGCGCCCCCCGCTTGCGCCGCCGGGCAAACGTTCCACAGCTCTTGCATCCCCCCGCCCATAGAAGGCGGTTGTTAGACATGTCTTGATCGACTCCACCGACGTCGCATCGCGATTCATGGCGCGCGCGCAGATTCGCGCGCCCCACCAGCCCGCGAAAGATGACCTTCCCTTCGGCGTCGCTCATGATGCGCACCGCGATGCGCTTGCTGATGCGGTTCGCGCTCTCCCCGCGCAGCTGCCCGCCGACTTTCTCGATGCCTTTGCGACGCTCGCGCACTTCGTGGAACGCCACGGGTTGCCTCTGCGCGCAATAATCGCACGCGCGCCCTGCGGGGGCGCCCTGGGCCATCGGGACCACCATGGCGACGGCTGCGTCGTTCTGTTTCTCGGCGCGCCCTTTCCCGCATGAGCAGCTCTCGCCGGCGATCGGCAACCTGCTCGGCAGCTGCGCATCCGATTTCAACCGCTGCGCGGGCAGCATGCAAGGGCGCGCCCCATTCAGCCCCTCATGGCCCATGGGCCCATGCAAGCTGCCGACGCGGACCCGTCCGCCCGCCTTCGGCATCTCAACCTGCGCCGCCAGCCATGGACTGATCGCGGCCGCGCGGTCGATAAGTTGCGCCGCGCGCGAGAATTCCGCCCTGCGCAGCTTCGGATGGCCCTTCCGACGACACGCTGGCAACGGCGTCCTCCGCCCCTCCCCAGCGCTCTTCAGACGCGCGCGTTGCTGGTTTCGCCCTTGCAGGAATTGCGCATCTGCGACGAAGTGAGCTTTCTCCCGCGCTGCCGCCCCAGCCGCCGCCTCCTCGCCAGCGGCCCCCCTGTCTTCTCAGCGTGTCCGGTGCGCCGGTCGGCGAGCCAGCCCGCTCACCTTCTTGCGCTCTGGCCATGGCGCCAGCTTCTCCGTGGCCCCCTCCTTCCCGGCGCTCGCAAACTCCGCCGGCGCCGTCGGCGCGTGGGCCCCCTGTCGGCGCGCGCTCAGTCGACGAGCCTGCTGCCCTCTTCCCCCGCGCCTCCGTCGCCCCATTCCCCCGCGCCCCCCTCAAGCCTGCCGGCGAGAGAAAACCTAGACAGCGTCGCGCTTAAGACGAAGGGGGGCCCCTCCCGTCGACCTCCCCCCCGCCGACGGGCGGGGCTGCCCGGGGGCGGGGGGGGGCAGATACGCGCCCGCCCCCGGGCCCCCACAAAGCGCCAAGACGCGCCGAAAGGGCCCTAAGCAGGCCCAAGAAGAGGACCGCGAATCGACACTTCGAGTTCCCCGCCCCGAGAAGCCCCCAGAAGGCCCCAAGAGCCGCTGAAGGGGCCCGAAGAAGCCCCCAGGAGCCCCCCAAGACACTCGGGGCCTCATTAGGGCCTCTTGGCAAGGGGCCCCAAAGAGGCCCCGACAGGCCCGGAAGCCTTCCAACCGCAGCCCCAGCACGGCGGCGGGAAGGGCCGCTGGCCGCGCGGCCCCCCGTCTGTCTCTGCTACGACACCCTCGGCCCACGTGGGGGGCATCTCCTTCGCCTTCTCCTGACCCCTTCCACCCTCGCCCCCCTCCCCCCCCTCCTCCTCCTCCTCCTCCTCCCCCTCCTCCTCCTCCCCCTCCTCCTCCTCCTCTCCTCCTCCTCCTCCTCCTCCTCCTCCTCCTCCTCCCCCCCCCCCCATCCTCCTCCTCGCAGTCGCCGTCGCCCCCAGGGTCGGGGGCGCTGGCCCCGAGGCCTTGGCAATGTACCCGGCGACAGGCCCGACTCTTGCACTTCGCATGCTCCTCCACAAACTCCTGCCCGGCACTGGCCCGCTTCTAGGTCGTCATCTCATGACCTCGGTCGAGCGGAATGTGCTGGCGCAGACGCTGCGCGAACACCTGACCGCGCGCGTGGAGCGCGCCCGTGGATTTCTGCTTTCCAATGGGAACGTAGCGCGCAACCACCCCGCCGACCCCCCCCCCCCCCCCCTGGCTCAGCATTGCCGCCAAACCAATCCTGGCACGGGCGCCCTCCATCTCCTCGGCGGCAGCGCGGGCAACTCGGGCGCGCGCGCATCCCCAACGCATGGCGCGTGGTCGCGTCAACGATGACTCAGAAACGGCTCGCGCTAGCCACCCGGTCCCGAGCGAGCATCTTCCCGCGCTCCGCCCACGAGGGCCCCCCCGCAGGAATCGCCTTCAACGGTGGCTCGGGGCGCGCGTCGTCGGTCTCAGGAACGACCACGGGCCATTGCCGACCCCTGCTTCTCGGGGCGCAGCGGCGCGGCCTCCGCCCAGCGCACGGGGTCGCCTCACAATGATCAGTTCGCGCCCTTCGCCAGGCGAAAAGTGGCGAAGAGTGGCGCCCCGTCGCGCGCGAGGCACGTTGGTCTCAGAACGCATCGCACGACGAGTCCCCCGCGTTCCCGGATGCCGCCGAGGAGCGCGATCGATGTTCGACATGCGTCTGCGCGCTGGTTTGCCCAGCCCAGGCGCGCGCCGCGCCTCTGTCGCGCCCCCCATGTGACTTCTGCTCCTCGTGGTTCACGCCCGCGCACCTGCCTCCCAACGCACGGTTGATCTACCTCGCACCTTCGCCGACGTCGTCGGGCGCCATCTGGGCCTCCACGTTGTTTCGGGTTCGCTGACACGCGCGCGAACCACGTCTTTATCAAGTTCACCGCCGACCGAACCGTCAGGCGCCAAGACGCGAGCCCAAAATGCCAACTCATGCACAATTGACTCTCCACGCGGAGGCTCATTCGGTAGCGGGCCCGGCGTCGCTGCCTGCTGCATCTGCATCTATCCCAGCGCGTCGCCCAGCGGGACCAAGCGCACGATCTCTGGCGGCCTGTCATGCTCTGGAAGCTGCATTGCTTATAAGCTCGATGGCCGTGCAGCTGCGCCTCCACAGCGAGCCTCGCGACCACCCCCCGACGAACCAGAGTCTGTTGCACGAAGTTCGCCGTCCTCACGGCCGCGTCGTAGTCACCCCCTGACTTCAAAATCACGGACACGATCCCCGCCAGTTCAGCGCCGGCGCACGGCAGGTCCGGGGACGTCTCCTCCGACGCTGCCTCGTCCACGGCGCTCAGCTGCGCCAGCATGTCCGCCCAAGGCACCGGGAAGGACGTCGCTGTGTCACGCGCAGCCATGCGGCGTGCGTTGCTGCCCGTTTCCATATCGAAAGTTCTCTCGTACCGACAACGCTTCTCCGAAGTGAAGCGCACCATCGACGTCACGCACGCGGACGCGCAAATCATCTCGACCACCGTTACCTTCCCTGCGAGGAGTTCCTCGGGTGAACACGCCGAAAGGAGGCTTGGGGTGCGAATTGGGTCACTCACCTTTTTGGTCGATGGCCTCCAATCTCACCCCTAGAGGGCCCCCAAGGCCCGTGGCCCAAATTACATCAGCAAAGCACCCGAACAACAAACATATAAAAGATGCAGCCTGGACAGAGAACCCTGAACCCGCCGACACTGTCGGCGTGTGTGAGGGGGAGTTCTGGGTTTGTCGTAATTATTCGGAACACCCTTTGGCGTTCTTTTGGTCGCGCCCAGCTCCTCACCCTCTTTGCGCGCCAAGCTCTTCAACTCGAGGTGAATCGAGCCATGTCGTAATCGAACTCTTACTTGAGTCGCAAGGGAGCACATTCCCTTCGATCCATTTCCCACCCGGGGGGGGGGCCCAGGGGGGGGTCAAGGGGAGGTTCCCGGAGGGGGGGGTCCCCGGGAAGGGTCCCGCAAAGGGTCCAGGGGCAGAATACGTTCCCCCCTTTCCGTTTCTGGGCCGCCTTCGATGACATGTTGCGCTCCTTCGGCAGATCAGGTCCAATATGCCCCAAGAGAAGCTCAAGAGAGTCCGGAGTCGCCGAAAGATTGCTCCAGGACGCCCAAGATGGCCTCCAGACGGCCCTAGGCGCCTGCAAGACGATCCAAGAGGCCTCCAAGAGCACTCCCAAGCCCAAGAGGGCCCCACGAGGCAAAGTGTATTGAATTTCCGCTGGCTTTTAACAGCTTTTAGCGTTTCTGCCTCTTCGGCTTTCCGACGCTCCAAGACGGCCCAAAGGGCCCCAACGATCCCCCAAAGACGGCCTACGGCCCAAGAGGGCACCCAGACGGCCCAAAAGGCCTCCAAGAAGGCCCAAGAGGCTTCCAAGACGGCTCAAGACGCCCCCAAAAATGCCCCAAGAAATGCCACAGAGGGGAAACAGGAACCGACATTTCAAGATCACCGCCACAAGAGGCTCCCGGGAGGCCCCAAGAGGCCCACAAAAGTCCCCTAAGAGGCCCCCATGAGGCCCCCAGAGGCCCCAAGAGGCTCACAAAAGGCCCCCTATCACAAGGTCCAAGACGCTCCCAAGAGGCTCCCAAGCGGCATCCAAACTGCCTCCAGAGGCCCCCCACAGCCCTCCGAAGAGATCCCAAGAAGAATCCATGAGGATTCTGACCCACATTCCAGGCACGGTGGCGGAATGTGCCGCAGGCCACAAGATAATCCAAGAGGGGCCTGAAATCGCCCGAGCGCCCCAAGAGTCCCCAATGGCCCCCGCCGAATTCCAAGAGAGCCCTCAACAGTATCATACCAGGAACCTGTGGTATAACATTGTTGCGGGCTGTTTCGGGAGCCCTCATGGGGCCCTCTTAGGCTATTTACAACCTCTTGGTGCCCTTTGGGGTTCTCCTTCGCGCATTTCGGAACTCTCAGAAATCAGAGCGTGAATTACCTCCCCCGCTTTCGCTTCCAGGCAAAACCAAGCCATACCACGCGCCTCCTCGTCAAGCGGCCTGATCAGTACAGGCCGCAATCTGGCATCGTTTGGTATCTCTTGGAAGCGAGGGTGGTCAAAAGCGAGGTAGGTTTGTTTTCCCCGAAGAAAGCCCGGAGAGAGCTCCAACAAGCCTCCAAGAGAGCTTGGAGAGAGCTCAAAGAGGGTTCCAAGAAGGTCTTCAATAGTATCAGACCACGGCACGCTGGCGGGATGTGTCGTGGGCGACGTAATCCAAGAGGGGCCTGAAAGCGCCCGAGCGCCCCAAGAGAGCCCCCAGAGGGCTCCCACAGAATTCTCCAAGAGACGGCCAAGCTCGACACCCAAATGGTCAGGGATGGCGCTGCAGTGCCGCCAAGACGATCCAATATGCCCTCAAAGACGGCGAAGATGACCCTGTCACCCAGAGCCCCGAAAAGGCTCCCAAGAGATCTCCTCCTCCTCCTTCTTGTTGTCCTCGTTCTTTTCCTCCTCCTCCTCCTCCTCCTCCTCCTCCTCCTCCTCCTCCTCCTCCTGTCCCTCCCACTCCTCCTCTCCTTCCTCCTCCCTCTGGTGATTCACACACCCCTCTTCTGCAACAAAAACATATGCAAGTAGCTCGGCCAAACTGTGCTCTTAATCATACGCTTTTTGGGAACCTGATGGGGCTTCGGGAGACTCTTCGGGCGTCTGGTCCCGACCTTCACGGACAACTCCGGCTGTCACATTCATCATGGGGGCCTTCCTCCAGGGTCGTCGACACCGGCCGTAAGGCCTTCACAATAAATGCCAGGAAATCTCACGCAAAACGGCTCCCGGACCGCTGCCGGACGGCGCGGTCTCGGGCTCCCCACAACCCCTTGGGAAAAAACATGCCAAGTGAATTCCCACCAGCCCTTTGGGCGTGAGTGGTTTAGAGAGCCCGCTCTGTTCTCAACCCCCTTCTTCCCCTTCGGGGAGGGGTTTACCCCTCCCCCTACCCCCTCCCCCTGGGCCTGGAGAGGGCGCCCCGCGGGTCGTTGGAGGGGTCTGTTTCGACTCCTGGGAGGGCTACAAAACGACACCCCTCACGAGGATTCTGGTCCCGACGGGGGGAGGCAGAAAAGTGCTCCCCTCTTCTTTGAAGCCAAAATCATTGATTTTACTACGGTTTTGGCCCCATTTTGGCCTTCTGAGGGGGCAGCGCTAATTAAAGCTCCCCTCTTCTTTCAAGCCAAAATCATTGATTTTACTAAGGTTTTGGCCCCATTTTGGCCTTCTGAGGGGGCAGCGCTAATTAAAGCTCCCCTCTTCTTTGATCGATTTCCTCCAAGATGGCCCCAAGAAGCGCCCAGGAGGCACCAAGAGGCCCCAAGATGGCCCCAAGAGGCCCCCAGGAGGCCCCCAAGAGGATCCCAAACGGCCCAAAGAGGCCCCCCCGAGGCACCCAAGACGCCGAAAAGCCCATCAGGACGACCCTCTACTCGCCTGGGCGTCGTTTCTGGACGGGCAGGAGGAGGGGCCCGAACGACTCACACCAGGACGAGGGGCCCGAACAACTCACACCACGAGAAGCCCGAACGACTCACACCAGGACGAAGAGCCCGAACGACTCACACCACGAAGAGCCCGAACGACTCACACCAGGAAGAAGGGCCCGAACGACTCACACCAGGACGAGAAGCCCGAACGACTCAAACCACGAGCAGCGCTTTCTCTCCCTCCTCCTCCGCCTCGTCCTTCTCCCGCTCCCACCACAAGGAGGATGTACAAGGAGGCGGGAGGAAGGAGGAACAGGGGAGATATGCGGGGGCAGGCAGAAACACGCCTGAAAAACACGACTGTCGGCATGCTTCGCTGGAGTTGCTGTTTTGAGATGGGCTGGTGGGGATACGCGAAGCGTGAAGAATTTGCACTAAAATCTGGATCATGCGCAGGCGCCTCGCGATCACTTTGCATTGCGTTGGATTTTGACAAGGACGGCATGTTGCCTGCTGTGCGCAGGCCCACCGTCCCTCTAGCAAGGTGCACTTTCCAAGGACGGCGGGGGGGCGACATAGTGCCTGCTTTGTGCAGACCAACTATCCCTGTCAAAAACAATTGAAAAGAAATTGCGGGTGCACACACAATATACAATGCTGGCAAATATGCTCTTTGCATGGGCTGTTGAAAGGGATGGTGCAGGGGGGGTCGACATATTACCGAATGCGGCGTACCTGGTGAGCGGGGTGCACCTGGCATGTGCGGCGCACATCGCGGGCGTCGCTCACCTGGCTGGCGTCTACACTGGTTCCCGGGGGTTGTCGATGGCGACAGCTGAGTAGTCTTAGGCTCGGGTGCTACTTATGCGTTGGGAGGGCAGGTGGAAGTGAGCGAGACAACTTGTGACGTTCCCGCTGGAAACCGGACCCCTCCTCGTACCCAGTCCCCATGGGTCTGGACGGGGGGGGTCGCGACCCATTGGACGGGCCCAAGGTGGTTCCCAAATGGCCCAGACAAACCCGCGAAACGCACGATCGCTCAAAATGGTTCCAACATTACCCAAAATGGCCCAAGACCGCTCCAATACGGGTCCAAGTGGCAACGGAGACTCCAAAGGATGGACCCCATGAGGCCAAAATCCGCACAGCACCTTAGGACACCAATGCGTGTGTGCCTTCTCGTCTTTTCGCTTGGGCTTTTGGGGCCTCAAGGCGGCCCCACAATGGCCCAGAGAGCTCCAGGGCGGCCCCGCGAGCGCCCAAGAGCGTTCCTGCAGCGTCCCCAAAGGCGACTTTTGGGGCTCAACGGAGAGGGACAACCTTATTTGGGGCCCACCCTTCGATCAAAACCAACATTATTGACAAACCATTGGTTGTTCAAAAATTGTAGCATGTCGGGTGCATCCGTGGGAGGAAGCTGTCGGGGCAACTTGGCTCCAATATGACCTCATAGAGCCCAAGATGGCCTCCGAAATTGCTCGACATTGCACAACAAAGCTCAAGATGGGGGGGTGCATTGCCGCGTCGTTGATACATCCTGGGTTCACCCTGGACCTCCTCATCCTCTTCCTTCGGGGGAAAAGGGACTGCGAGGATGAGAAGGAAGGAGCACGAGGATGAGGAAGAAGGAAGAAGCAGGGAGGACGAAGAGGGGGCGGATGGCGGCGGACGGAGGACGGAGCAGGGAGAAACAGGGCGAATACGGGAGAGGGGAGGAGGGAGGAAAGGAGGGAGGGAGGGAGGGGGGGGTGGGTACACGAAAAAACGGAGGGTCACAAAAGGAGAAAAGAAAAGGGAACCGATCATTCATCGGGGGAGATCAACTTTTCACAACGTCAACTGTGACACAATCGAGCCTGGGATGCCAATCCGTGGAGATGCGGTTCCAAAAATGCGTCCTTCCTTGGGCCCCGCTTTGGGGAAGGGGCCTGCATTCGTTGCGCAATCCGCGCACTTGCCCGCCGCATGTGTAATACTTGCAGCGGCAGCATACAAAAACAAAGAGGTTGTCCGAACAGTCTAGTAAAACCATCGAGCGCCCAAGGGACTGGAGGCAGGGCCCGTCAAAACCACGAACTCCGATCCCAGGGCCACCTTGGCAACAACCAGGGGGGGGCTTTTGGTCGGCCATGGATCCACGGAAACAACGTTCACACTGCCAGAACCTCCCTTGCTAGCTCCACTTGTGCGCAACTACACTTCTCTGCTGCTGAGCCTGCTTCACCGAAGGGGTGTTACTCAAATCTAAGCGGGGCCACAGAGGGAGAAACTTCCCAACCAGGTCACAAACCAGCCTCGACACAACAAGCTGCTTGGAAAGCTTCTCGTTCTGTTCTGGGTCTGGCTGCGGGTGCCGTAACGCCGTAGTCTTGACCAGCTGATTGGCCACATCATTGCCCGTCTTATACTATTTGAGCTAATCGGACATATCTGGGTCATCGACAGCGTGCCCTTTCACCTTAACCACGGACTCAAGCCCAGTCGGCTGGAGGTTAATAAAAAGCACCACTGTAAACTCGTTTGTGAGAAAGCTGCTCCCTCGCAGGGAGATTAAACTGGTGGACCACGTTCGCACAATCCGACAAAAACATGTGGATCCAGGGAGGACAAACTGTCCCGCGGCTGATAAACTCGGCGGCCTGGGGCGTTCGCGGATTCGGAGCCCAGATCGGGCCGTTGGCAAGACAGACTACCAGGAGGGAGGGAGGGAGGGAGGGAGGAGGAGGAGGACGACGACGACGACGAGGAGTACGACGACGAGGAGTACGACGACGAGGCGGTCAGGGAAGGGATGTGAAGGGAGGAGTGAGGAGGGACCACGAAGAGGACGAGGATGACGGCGACGAGGGCTGGGACAGTGACGATGACGGTAGGAAGCACTCTACCGCCCGGGGCGGCCCCACTGTCCAACGTGACCCATTGGACGCACCCAGTCGAAGATCTGCACCCGTCGAGGACGGAATTCCCGCACACCCAGCCGCCTCCCAGGACTCGACTCCTCGTCTTCGTCGTGGGTGTCGTCAGCTCCCCCCTCCCCCGCACTGGGGGCGGAAAATGATCTGCAGGGGGCGAGAAACGATATGGTTTCACCGAACAGAGCGGTCCTTGGGAAATGCTCTCCCCACTATTCACACTCGCCACACTGATGCTGACTCACCCCAAATCGGCCTCTCCTTGAAGATCTCCCACAGGTCTACGAAACGTTCAGGCACCCTCGGTGGAGGAGTTGTGCCTGGGGTTCAGCGCTTTGGACATCTGCCTCAACGATTGCAAGGGGATCGTGAACCAACGCTTGCTGTCCGTGGAAAGCAGGCTGGACGTGTCGAACTCCGGATCGAGAGGCTGGAGAACATGACCAAGAGCCTTGAGGCTTCTCGGATAGCCGGCGTCGCGCCTCCCCAAGGCGCCGCTCAGCGCACGAACGTGGACAAGCGGCAAATCGCGGCGGCGATTGGCAACCTGGACGCGCTCAGCAGCATGGCAGAAGCGATCACGTGGTTGAAGGACCAGCTAATGGTGCTGAAGGGCTCAGCCCCGAGCAATGCATACGGTCGGGGTGGATTGGAGAGGACACGCGAGAGGACACAAGACTCTTCCGATGGCCACATTGCCAATGGAACGTAGAGGGCAATGGGTCGCGAAACAGAGGACACAAGGGTACCCTTGTTTGGGCAGGGTCGACCTACTAATCAGACTCGACTGTACTCCAAGGGGCCATTCAAAGGCATCGTGCTCGCAGAGCTCCAGGGGACGGCGGATAGAGACGTCGCCGTGGATCTCCTCCGCGCGGCGGCTCTCCAGCCAAGCGGAGGGACAAGCTTGTGGGCGACTCCTGACCGTCCCGCTCCAGAGCGTGCGGTCCAGAAGTTTTGCTTCGGCCTGAAGCGGCTCTTCAAAAACGAGTGGCAGGCTCTTCAAAAACGAGTGGCAGCTCCAGTACCGCGTGAATATCTCAGATGAGGCCCCATGTTTGGTCACAGTTGGCGGAGAGAAGGCGGTGACGGCTCACGTCAGCGACATCGCTGTACGGTACGAGTGGCACGGCGACTGGGAGACTTGGGAAGAGCTGCGCAACAACCAGGCTGTGCAAGACCTCCTCCAGAAGAACACGGACATGCTGTCCAGGGCAAGCCACGGCATGAAGGGCTCGAAAGACCATGGCGTCAAAGGAGGCTCAAAGGGAGGCCAGGCGGGGCCCGAACCCCACTAGCAGACACGGCACATGAACAATGTTTCACCCGTTTCACTGGCAGTCAGGCCTACTGCAATTATGAACTCAAATCGTTCGCGAATTTACACTTTCGTGGCCGTCACGGCGGCAATCGGCACCGCTGCTTGCACGGACGCGTCAGCGACTGGCAACACTGCAGTGGCAGCTTCTAGCACGGCGAGCTGGGCACCAACGGCGCTAAACTTTAGATCTGGCCCTCCACTCCTATGCGACCGCCGCTTGTGAGTGGCCATCTGGAACGTGGAAGCGTGCACAGAGGCTAAACAGCACGAGCTCGAATGGCAGATGAAAGATATGGGCATTGACATTGCCGTCTGCAGGAAACGCACGGGGCAGGGTCTGAATATTACGTCACAAATTCTGACTTCCGCACGATCATTTCAGGCATCGCAAGCGCAGACAGCAGCGACACAGCCGGGTGGGTTGTCTCGTCGCGCCTGGGCTTCGCATGAGCATTGCGGGCTTCCAGCAACAGTCGGCGAGGATGGCCTGTGTGAAGCTGCGGGTAGCGGCAAAGCAGTAGTATGCAGCGCGTGCACCCCCCACAATGCCTGGCCAACCGACGAGCGAAAACAACTCTATGCAGATATTGGCACATTCTTGGGAAGTGCGTCCTGTCATGGCCCTCTTGCATCTGGGAGATTTCAACGCCAGGCTGCACAGGAGGTCCCCAGGCGAAGACCCTCTGTGACAGAGTCCCTTTTCCCGTTCCTCCTCACCCTCCTTTTCCTCCGTTTCCTCCTTCTCCTTCGCTTCCTCCTTCTCATACTGTTCCTGCGTTTCTTACTTATCCTGAGTATACGGTTTATCCTTCCTCCTTCTCCGACGCATCCTTCTTATCCTGCCCTTCCTCCTTCTCCTACTGTTCTACGCTCTTCCATTTGCCTCGCAACCCTCTTTCTCCTACGCTTCCTCCTTCTATCCCGTCCGCTTCCCCCCATCCAGTTCGTCTGCTCAGTTTTCGTCTAGTTCGTTTTCCCTTCTCCCACCCTCCATCTAACTGCACTGCCATCCCATCACATCGCATCGTCCGTCGCCGCTACGCTCAAACCATCCCGCGCCCGCGGGATCGCCCGCGATCAACGGCGCGTTCGCGGCCGCTCGCGGCCTGACGCGCGCCAGCGCGATTGTTTTGCAATGGGCGACGCAGGCGGAAACAGGTGGGGTGGCGCGGGAGGATGGTGGTCCAGCCGCAGCATCTGGCGGGCCATGGCATGGGCGACAGCCATGATTGGTCAGCGTAGGGCTGGCGAGATTAGTTACGGGATGGGGGCAACAGAAATGCTTCTACGGAATGCATTAAACGGCGCGATGGCACTGCCGCCGCAGCAGCGGCGGCGGTGGCGCCTCAACGGCCGTTTGGCTTCGCCGCACTTGACGTCGTGAGCCCCCGCGCCCCTGGTCTCGGCAGGCCCGACGGAGATAAGTGTACGAGGGCTGCCATGCGAAACTCGCCACGCCTTGGGGATGCATTGCCACAGGACGGGTCGGGGCCCCGTGCCGCGCCTGCGCCGCAGGGACCCCGCGCCGCCACAGCAGCGGCGGCGCGCAGCCCCCAGGAAAGCGAAACGTTTGATGTCGACTATCGTTTGAATTCTGAGGGGAGGCTTGGCGACTCGCATCGACAACGCTGCCAAGCGCTGAACCGGTGGCGTCAGGTGCAAGAAGACGGAGCGGCGACGTTCCAGTCGACGGCCACGTGGTTTGACAACGTGGAGCAAAAAACGGGGAAGCCCCTTGGCGGTGACAAGAGATGGTGGCGACGCTTAGGGACGAAGACAGGGAAGTCGCGGGGGGGGGCCCGCAGCGGCGGGGCTCCAATCGGCTGTTCCCTCAAGTTCGGCGCAACCGCTACGACAATAAGCGCCATAACACCTCGTCCGTACGACAGTTCGCGGGGCAGCGGGTTAACCCGAAGCTGCCGATGTGGGACTTCGCGCTGCATCGCGACGACGGGCCAGGAACGTTTCGCTTTTACGCCGAACATGGTGTAAAGCGTAGGGGAGAGCGTGGTGGAGGCGCCGCCTGGCCTGTCGGAGTTTCGCACGGAAACTGCGGAACAGATTTCTGACCTGATGGAAACACATCCGTCGATCGCAGAAGAATTGCGCAGCTGGAGCGACATCGCGGGGGCCGCGTTCATGGAGACACTGGGCAAAGAACGGAGGCGAGTGGGCGAACTGTCGCGGGAAGGTCCCGGGGTTCAGCGGGCCCTAGCGGCGTGCGAGGACGCTCGGGAAGCACTGCTGATGCTTGAAAAACGACAGCGGGATGTCGAGGCGCAGCGCACAGCAGAGCTATCCCGCTTGAAGAACGACGCGAAGTAAGCACGCAAGCTGCTGAAGACACAGCAAGCCGAACTTGCTGATGCAGAGGAAGCCGTCGATATCAAACGTCAGGTGAATACTGTCGGGTTATCCGAGCTGGGCGCGGGCCTCCGCAGCTGCGGAGGCGCAGCGGGTCGAACGGCGACCTTCGACGCGTTGAATCGCCCGGCGGGGTTGGGTTCGGGGTAGTCTACAGTTCAGCGGTCAGACTTGGAATGGTTCCCGCTGGAATGAGAGAGCGCGGGCACTCGAAATTATCCAGGGGGCGTGGCCGGAGACGTTTGCCACATGATTACAGAACGTCCTCGACGAGTACTTGGGCGGCAACCCGAGAGCTTCAGCGTGCTTATGCACAGTGAGACGCGCCGCCGTCTGTCTGGTTCCCTGGCGCTTGCGTTTCCTGCAGCTGGGGGCGTCTGAAAAAATATGCCCCGCCGCAGCAGCGGCGGGGCGAGGGGGATGGGTCTCGGTAGCGGCCGCCGCTCTTTCGCCTTGCCGCCACTGATGTGGCCGCACGCGCGCGGACGTGCAATTGCGAGGCCCCGCGCAGAAGGAGGGAGGATGGGGGACAGCAGGGAGGGGGGATGGGACAAGCTGGACAGATGCGCTCGCGTCAACATATCTGGCGTCCCACACCCCTCCCATCCCTTACCATGGCTAGATGTCCTCTCTATTCGCGCACTCGGATGTCGTAGCATGGCATAGCATTACATGGCATAGCATGGCGTTGAAGGTCAACGCGTAGCATGACATAGCATGGCGTGGCTATGCACCAAAATAAGGGGGGGCTTCCACGGTTCAGAAAATCAGCGAATCGTCACCGAATGTAGAAGCACTTCCGATGGCTTTTGTTCAGGAGGCCATTTTCTAGAGTTTGGGGCCTGTTTGGAAGGACCGAAATGCATGCCGTGGCATGGCACTGGAAATACTGACGCCATCGCTGCAGCGGGAGCCAGACTCAGGACGAGCGGAAGCGCGGGAATGAGGCCAGCGCTACAGCGGGGGCGCGATTCGGAACGAGCGGAAGCGCGGACATGAGGCCAGCGCTGCAGTTGGAGCGCGGTTCGTAACGAGCGGAAGCCCGAAAATGAGGCCAGCGCTTCCGCGGGAGCAACATTTTGAAACAACAACCCAAACGAAATTCATTTCCCGTGATTCATGTGTGTAAAAATGCCATACGCGGAGGGGGGCCGGATATCTTCCAGACGTCATCAGGGGACAGACGAGAGTAATGTTCAGATTGTGCAGTTGTGGAGGAGGGAAGGGGAGATACGAGACCATCATTCCCCTCCTCCTCCTGCTGTCCCCCCCCTTCTCCCGTCTCTCTTGTCATTCATTATATCAATCCTCCCTCCTCCGCCTCCCCTTCCCGTCCCTCTCCGCTTCGTCCTCCTCCTCTCTCATCCCTCTCATTCCGCCTCGT